GATATAGAAGGAGGAGATCTGTTACCTGTTGTTACAAATCCTTTGATTCTTCCTTTCTGGTTTCCTTCGAAACCAACGTACCCAACATATTTAAGTTCTAGGTTTTGGAACATATGCTTTCTTCCTGTCATGTGACGTGAGCATCCAGAGTCTAGGTACCATGATTGGTGTTTCAACTCTGTTGCATAAAATATCTGCAACATGCACTATTTTATCTTTTGGCACCTAGAATCTCTTCTGAGTCAGACTCAGTTTTTGATGTGTTTCCTTCTGATGTAGTATCCATGAATGCTATGTTAGCATGTTCTTCTTCAGATTCTGATCCTTCAGAGTCTGATTCATCCCATGTTTCCATGAGACATTTCTTCTTTCCATTGAAAGCATTCTTCTTGAAGCTTTATTTTCTGGTTCTTTCCTTCTTTTGGACATTCATTTTTATAGTGTCTTGGCTCCTTGCACTCGTAACATGTTACCTCTTCGCTAGCTCTTCATCTTGCAAATGATTATGAACAATCTTCTATGCTTCTAGGTCTTCGGAAGTTGTTTTGTCTTTTATTCCAGTGTTTCTTGACTCTTTTAGAAAGAAGGGACAATTCATCTTCGTCATCAGAAGCTTTATCATCATAATCTTCAATCTCTTCAGCTTAGAAGACTTTGTTCTTTTCTGATTTGTTCCTTTCTGATCTGGATTTTAGAGTAACAAATTTGCCTCTTTTATGGGCCCCATCTTCCTTTAACTCTATTTCATGACTTCTAAGGTAGCTAACCAACTCTTTAAGATTTAAGTTGTCTAGATCCTTATATAACTTTTATGCAGTTACCATAGGTCTCCATTTCTTAGGAAGACTTCTGATGATCTTTTTAACGTGATCAATTGTAGAATAGCCCTTGTCCAAAACTTTAAGTCCTGTGACTAAAGTTTGGAACCTTAAAACTATAGTTTCAATGGTTTCATCGTCTTCCATCTTGAAGGCTTCATATTCCTGGATTAAGGCCAGAGCCTTAGTCTACTTGACTTGAGTGTTACCTTCATATGTCATTCTCAATGAATCAAAGATATCTTTCGTTATTTCTCTTTTAGTGATATTCTGATATTAATTGTAAGAGATAGCGTTGAGAAGAATAGTTCTAGATTTATGGTGATTCTTGAGCACATGCTTTTGTTCATCATTCATTTTGTTTTTGGGAATGGGAATACCAATCGCAGATACAGGTTCTTCATAACCAAATATGAAAAGATCTCAAAGATATGCATCATAGCCTAGAAAGAAGCTTTCTAGTCTATCTTTCTAATAGTCAAATTTCTCTCCATAAAAAACAGGAAGTTTAGCATTGTAACTATCTCTTTCATTTGTATGAGCAGCAACCATAAAAGTTTTTCTCACACTAGATCTCTCTATGCGGTTAAGTGTTTGATTAAACAATCAATAGCAGAGCCGGAGCTCTGATACCAATTGAAGGTTGAGAAAAACACAAGAAAGCGGGGGGGGGGGGGGGATTGAATTGGGTTTTCAAAAACTTTTCTTTTAGAAATGCTTCTCACAAACGATCAATGATAGACAAGCTAGAAAGAAAAATGACACAATTAGTTTATACAAGTTCACCTTAGAAAAGGCTACTCTTGTCCACCGGCCAAGGTGATTTTGCCTTAGAAAATGACTTAGTCCATTAATCTTGAAAAATTATAACAAAGTCTAAGAGTTTATAAAAACACCTTAGCCCTATCAAGTATACAAACTACAACTTAGTCACTTGAGGAAAACAAATCTTAAAAAATTTACAACCAAACAGTGTTTACAATAGTGTTTCTAAAAGTTGATTTAACACTACAATAAAGAACAAATGTTTACACACAAATATGAGCCACAAATCTCGTGTATACAACAATGATAATAACACAATAACAAGCAACAACTCTTGTGTTATGAAGAGTAGAAGTTAACACAAATATAAGCAACAACTCTTTGTGTTTTGGATTTCTCTTGAATATTTGCTCTCTTTGTTTTCTTTGCACAATAGCTTTCTTTCTTTCAATACCTCTTCTATTTTCTAAATTCGTCATATTCAAATGAAATAGTCACCCCTTTAAATAGGCTAAGAAAAATGAACCGTTGGATAGAACAAAAACGTCACTTTCATTTGCCAGTTGCTACAACGGTAGCATCAAAACATGGGAGACAAATTCTGTTGGTTGTACAACATAGTCTTCACTATAGTGGAATAGGTCTTGTACTATTGTAATGTATTCTTCTTATGCAAGTTTCTGATATTTTATTTTGATGAGATATTTCTGATCTAAAGTAACAAGAGAGTGCAGAAGATATCACATCTTTGTTTTTAATTTTATGATGGAGTGTTTCTGATATGACACTATGATAAATATTCTAGAAGACATTTCATTGTATTGTTCTCAAAAGTATCAGAGTCTTCAGAATCAGAACCTTGTCTTATGACTTGGAGCAACAACTTATCTGACAAATAATTCTTGATATCTGAGCTGGAAGCGAAAGTTTATCTGAGAAAAACACCATATGATATCTGATCTTCACTTGGAGATCCTTTTCTAGTGAACACTCGTGACTTCTGAAGCAACAACTTATCTAGAGAAGTACACATGGATCATTTTCTGGAGAACATTCAACATTCATCAGAACTAATGATATTTCTTCAGAAGCGGATGGAATAGTCTTTTTGAGGCATGCCAAACACAATTATGATGATTCTCCATACAACAATCTTGAATCAATTAGAATATTTTATCTGCACACTCAAGAAACTATTAGATAACAAAATTGTTACATATAAATATATGTATTGTTATCATCAAAACTCAAATATTATACACAAACCAAATCTTGTTCTAACAATCTCCCCCTTTTTGATGATGACAAAACCATATATTTTGATGAAACAATTTTACAAGGTAATATCCTACAAAGTATCAGAGTAAGTTTTAGAAAAACTCTCCTGAAATAAACAATCTCACCCTGAGTTAAAGACTCAACAATCTTTATAAGTGTAAGGGATATCTGAGCATTGTTATCATATCTAAGTCTGACTAAGAGCATAAGATTATCTTTATCGCTTATCAAATCTTGACTTGATCATAAATCCTTTTTATCAGAGCTTAATTTCTTAGAACTAATGAAACATTAAGTTCTTTATCAGAACCTTCTAAACAATTTGAATTCGATCCATTTGCTTATTAATGAGTTCCTGAAACAACATCCTCAAAACAATATCTCGCATATATATTTTGTTAGAATGTAAGCAATGGGATTTAGAGAATTAGATATGTATCAAAATCATCACTATCTTTCTCCCCCTTTTTGTCATAATAAAAAAGGTTTAAAAAATTTGAATTGATTTAAAATTATTAGCACACTTTCTCTATTTCAACAAAATAAGAGATAAAAGAAACTTAGATTCATTATTCAGAGAGGTATAATTCGAACTCCTGAAAATGTATGCCAAGATGAAAGTCTTGACTAGAGCTTAGAAGATTTAGACGTTTTTCATTAATGACCTCCCAAAGATCATCATCAGCACGAAAGGTTTTTGAAGACATGATGAAAACAAACTCGTGGAAAAGTTTTGAAAGAAGATATATTGAAGGATGAAGAGAAACAATGAAACAAAGAATAGAATAAATAGGAGAAGAGAAAATGTAACTGACAAGAGAATTGATTTCTTTTGACAGTCAATCAGACTCGAGAGGCTCATAGTAATAAATGTCTGAACAAGAGAATGGGAAGAAATCACGCCTGGTAGCGCGACCTATATCAAGCCTCGAAGACATGTTTTTTTAGTATTGCTAGAAGGCTCGATGGAGGTCCCACCTGAACGGTTAACACACCTATCTTGAGGGACTTAACATCCCGTCAGCCAAGCTACGCGTTATTGTGTCTATAAGAGCTTGGACTCCTAAGGTAAACTAAAACCTCGCAGGGGGAAGCACCAGTTCTCGGATACTCCCATTAGACGTAGGTAAAAAACACTTCGCCTTCTAACGAAGGCCTCGTGCCTAAGGGACTATGTAGTGTTATATTTGCAAAAGACCATGCATAAGGAGATGCCCTAGGAAAAGGCGGCGACATAAGGTCGCGCAAAGGAAAGTATCGCCTCGTCCTTAAGTCTTCCTCGCCCGTACAAAAAAAACGTGGAATAAGACGTGTCTTGGATAAAAAGAAAGTTGTTAGTGACTCATATCTCCCTTGGAAATAGGGACTAAAGTGTCCACCATTTGACTAAGTAGGCAGTGGCCTTTTCCGAGGGAAACCTAGAGGCCTCTATAAATACGTTGTCCCTCAAGAGAAAAAAATAGACTCCACGTCATACATACTCTCCACTACTTAAAGAGCATTACACTCGTTACCATCATAACATACACGACTAACCTAACCGCCCGCCCGCAACTTAGCAGCATTGACCATCAACAAGGTCTCTCACTTCACGTGAGCTGATTGGTCCTTTAAATAGCCTAAAAAATAACCGTACAGGGCTACTTGCCGTTGTGAACAAGCCATCACTATAAAAAGTATTATATACCTACAAGAGTCTCTAAGTCTCTTTACCCTTAAGGAGGAACACACCTATACTTTTTAAATAGTACAAAATTATTACTCAATAAAAAATATAGTAATAAGAATTTAAAGAAAATATAATCTTAATAAAATTATTATACATTATCAATTAATCATAACCGTTAAATTTTCATGTATTTATTAATTTCTTTAATCATATATAAATAGTTGTGATTTTTTAGAGTAACATTGCATATCAATTACTCTCAATAATAGAACTACTACTAATTTGGAGACAGAGGTCACATTAAACGACGTCGTACGAACATGATTAGCAAACTACTCAAAATCCACCATCTTCTATACACACCGTCTTTTTTCTAAACCTGCGTTTCGAAAAAGAATCGTTTTTATTCTCCATTCCAAAAACTGAAAAAGCCGCAAGAGAAAAACCGAAGTTAACATCACTGCACAACAATGGCAGAAAAACCCCAACCGGTTCGGGTATTATACTGCGAGGTTTGCAGTTTACCCCCCGAGTATTGCGAATTCGGATCCGATTTCGATAAATGCAAACCCTGGTTGATCCAAAACGTACCCGATTTATACCCTAATCTTCTTAACGGTATCGATTTCGATTTTTTCAATATTTTAATGTGATTTATTTATTTTATTTTGTTAATATCATTATCATGATCGTTATTGTTGATATTGTTGTTGTTTTTGTGCAGAGGCGAATGAGAAGGAGGCTGATAAAGTTGCTGATAAGTTACAAGCTACTGGTATTTCTTCTGCTTCTAGTGCTGGTGCTGCTTCTTCAGGTATGTTGTTGAAGATGGATAGTTATGTAAGTTTGTTAGTTTATCCATGATTTTGAGTTTTTCTATAACATTGAATTGTATTTTTTTTTGTTGACAAAAAATGTTCTTGAACATCAATGTGAGATAACAGAATGCAGTTTAGTTACTTGGTTAATTAAGTGTTTGGTTTGGTTGATAAATATATTAGGTGTTGTAACTTGTTAATTATGTAGTGGACTTTATTAAGCACCAATTTAAATGTGATTAACCTTGATTTTTCAAGTTTTCAAATCTACTAGTAGTCAGAGTAGTCATTCCTGGATAGTGGCGTGGATCGGCCGACCCCAGAAGTGGGATAGTGGGATAACCGCTCTATACGATCATTTTTTGGACAAATTACATATAATAATTATAAACATATATTTAATGTAAAATTAAACAAATAACTCAACTCAAAATATTCATATATCAAAGCACATATGACTCTTGAAGTGTATAAACGACTATGAAGGAAGGATAAGTTTGAGCTCAACTCAAATTTGATTGGAAAACTCAAAATTACTCTTAAAACATTGTAAATTTAAGGGGTAATTTCGGATTTTTAGAGGGGAAGAGAATAGCAGGCTAGAAACCGCTCCGGACCAAGAACTGCTATGCTCCGCTATCCCAGTCTATAGCGGCCGCTATAGTGTTCTGCACTGCTAAGGCTCTTCCCACAGTGACCTGCCTTCGCTTCTCTATAGCAGGATAGCACCGCTACTGATTACCCTGCTAGTAGTTGGAATACCAGGAATTATGGTAATAGTGTTCAACTTTGTGGTTAATTAAGTTCACTTGATGGTTCATGAGGTATTCAATCTTGATATACATATTAGCCACTTATTGAACTGTGTTACCATTTGATAAGTTGACAGATTTTGTTGTTCCAAATTTAGTTTCAAATGACATTTCAGAATATTTTTGTGGTTGTGAGCTGAATGTTTCTCCCCCTTTTTTTTTTTTAACCTATTGCCTGGCAATTGGTGGTTATTATTCAATTCCCTATTTTATTATTTTTTGCAGGGAAGCCAGAAGAGGTCAAACGGCTTCCAGGTGGGAAGATAAAGAAGAAGGCATGTTTTGAAATTCTTAACTGCAATTTTCATTTGATGTTATATGTTCATGATTACAATTACAATCATTTGATTGATGCTATCAGATGTGGTTTTTTCTTTTCAGGACAAGCAAGAGGTTATAATTGAGAAGGTCGTGCGTAACAAACGAAAATCTATCACCACCGTGAAAGGCTTGGAACTTTTTGGTAAGTTGTATTTTTCATTCTCTTAGGTTTTGTTTGGATATCTAAGGATAGTATGTAGAATGGAATGAAACTGAAGAGGATTGAAACAAGTAGGTTTTTTTTCAAGTTTTGAAGTGAAATGGAATGGTAGGAGATTATTAACAAAAAGTATTTCAGGCCATACTCCCAAAATGTTTTTTTTTTCCGGAGAGATGATCCAAGGTATTAGATTGAATGGAGTGAAATAGATTCTATGAAGTTCTACCCAAAATCAGCAGCTAATCTCATTCCATTTCTATTTATTCCATATCTTTTTATCTGTGTTGCCCGAGTCTAGTATGGTGGAGTGCACGGTTTTCCAAAAATCTAGGGTATAGGTACGAACCATAAGGTAACATGAAACTATATATATACCTCAGAAGACCTAGATTTTAGAGGATAAAGAATTTGAATTACCTGAATAAAAAACTAGAATTGGTACTTAATTCCTACTCTCACTTGAATCTGAAATTTGGGAAGGGGATATATACAAAGGAAAAAAGAGCAATTTGTATGATAGGAAATAGTTAAAGAATTCACAAGGTAATAGAGAAAGTATCAACATTTTTGACAAAAGGAATGGGGAAAACCATTTTTCATGTTTTTTACTAAACTACAATTTTTGAATCTATTGGGCTGCGGATACTGGTTTGCAACTTTGTACATATATCGAAATAAAATCCATGTCCAGATGGTACCCCATTTTCCCAAATTTGATACTCAGTTATTTCTCTCTAGTTACTTTTTTTGGAATGTACGGGATATGTATCCATGAGTACCCAATAGGTACCGGGTACAACTACCTGCCCGTTATATGTGTGACTTTAACTTTGGAGTACCTTTGTTCAAACACTTTTATTGCATTTCAGGTGTCAAGCTCAGTGATGCTTCAAAGAAACTCGGGAAAAAGTTTGCTACAGGAGCTTCTGTCGTCAAGGTTTATTGCCTTATCCATAATGGACATGTATTGTTGCTTCGTAGTTGAATATAATGTCTTACTATTTTTTGATTGATATCAGGGCCCAACTGAGAAAGAACAAATTGATGTTCAAGGGGATATATCTTACGACATTGTGGAGTTCATTACAGATACATGGCCTGACGTAAGTGGTTTTTATTCTCTATTGTTTGACATTATAATTTAACTTAATATGTATCCTTGGTAGTGGTAACTGTTGAGAAAGAACAATACTATATAAATTTTATTATGCTGGATTTGATTTTATGGTTATGAAACCCAGAGGAAACACATCCATTGCTCATGCATAGATAAGATAGTATAATCCATACTTGTAAGCCTAGGAAAATATGGATCTATGAACTAACGAGACGGTGAGCTTGTGTTACATTACAGTATCTTCCATGGTTTAGTCCGTTTCGTAATCTGATAAGATACTGGATTTTTGGCCTTAGCCCAATAGAGAGGCTGGATAGAGGGAAATAGGAATGACGTGGCAATATTCTGTTATCCAAGGAGTTTTTGTAATAAGAGAGGGAGGAGGAAGTTGAGAGGTATTCAGAAAATAAGGTTAGTGTGTAGAAGAGATTTCTATCTGCGTTAGAAGATTTCTATCTGTGGATTAGAAGTTCTTTAAACTCTGGTTTTCTTTTCCTGTCTCTGTTTTCACCATTGTAAGAGCTCTGAGCTCATCATTTTCCAATTCAATAGCAAACAGTTGCTTACATAAACTTCTAGTTTCTATCATAATCTCCCTGCTTTACTCATATCATGTGAATAGTTCTTCATAAAGGAAAGGGTTAAATATGTATTTCGCTCTCACGAAATGGGGACCTGAGTTTAGTTCTTAATTATTGTTGTTTTTTAGTTCCTACAATATTCTCCTCACACGGTTTTTAGTACATGCTATGAAGCCAAAAATTGATTTGTAGGTCTAGATTGTTGTTACCTTTATCTTGAACTTTTGATGTTTAAAATTCATATTTAGTTCATCTTATGTTAAAAATTCTAAATTTTAACAAATGAACTTATTATAACGTTCTAAACATATTTGTGATAAATCATTAAAAAATTTAAGAGTTTAAGGATAATTACAAAATTATCTTTAGTGGGAGCTAAAACTACGCCAATTTTTTGTTGCCGTAAAGACTGAGAAAACATTAAAATTAAATATGGGCTAAACTTAGAAAGTCCTTATTTTTTAGGAACGAAATAATATTTTTAACTCTAAATGCAAGTAGTTCTCTTAATCCCTAACCTAGCTAACTCTAATATGATTTGAAAATCTATCTTCCTTCTGCAGGTTCCGGAAAGAGCAATTTTCTTTATAGAAGATGGGAAGAAGGTTCCAGCTGCTTGATTGAGTATTTATTAATAGACTCTGAAGTGGTGGTTAGAATCAGCTATAATTCTGTATTTTGAAGGGAATGGATGACAGATTTGGTATTTAATGTTGAAACACTACTTTTAGCCATTGAAGCCCCCCTTTTCTCCCCCATAACAAGTATTAGGGCATAATACAACGTATATTTTCAGTTACATTATGTTCAATCAAATGTGTGCCTATATATGCAATAGGATGAAAAAGGTTTATTTACTCCAATCTTGTACTATTTTCTGAAACTATGCACTTATTACTTTGCCATTTTCTGCTTGCAAATCACCAACTTTAACCCTACACATCTTTTAACAGCCTTGTCAAATAAGTTTAGGGTTTAGGGTGTATCTCATGAGAAATTGATTAGCATGCTGATGAGACCGCGTCTCTCTGCATTTCAACGTATTTGTTGTCATTTGTGAACAGACATAGATAGAGTGCTGTTGTATCATTAGTGCGTATATGTCATTCTTGCGTAGTGCTTGTGATGCATATACCAAGAAAGATTGGTGCATAGCTTGGAAAAACAGTAATGATAAAGGTGGTGTTGGGGTAGCAGAGTAAACTTTTGCATCTTAGAAAAAGTTAGGAGAAATATGATAAGTATTGGAATAATTTGGTTAACTAAAAGATACAATTCCAAATCATGGATCTTCCAATCATATTCTCAAAGGATAAAAATACAAGGGGCTTAAACATTGCACCCATCAACATCGTTTAGAATTATTTGCTCTATTTAAATGACTGACTATAACGTTCCATGTTATTTTCAGTATGTTCTGTCCACAATTTCTATAAAACTTTTGAGAAGATCATCCATCACGAAATTACTCCAAGTCAAAATTACCACTCAAACTTATTTTGGGTGTTAATAATTATTCCTTCCGTCCCAAAATAAATGTCACATTTAGAAAATCAAAGCAACTAAAATTAATTTTCATTAATAAAAAACAATTAATTATATAATAGTATATATGATCATAATCTGTTCCAATTAAAACTAATCAGCATCTAAACTAATAAAAACCTAGCAACATAAGTTTTATCAACCTGCATAACAAAACGCCATATACCATATTTACAAACAACAAACTAGACCAACTCATTTCTTAAATATGTTACATAATTCTCATGACCGTCTATGAAGTATATCCCTGTAACGTAAAATGGAATCAAGCCTTTCCAACCTAAGTTGCTGCTTAAACCTTTTTATAAAATCATCTGCCTTTGCGTCCACCTCCTCCTCTTCCATTTCTGATCCAACTTTCTTCTCCTCCTCCACCTTTACAGACTTCAACCGGCCAAAATTCCCCGACATGAGCCGTTCCAAGAGCGACCGAGCTCTTGTTAGCGGATTCTGGATCAAGTCATCCATGCCTTGATTCATTTCTGTTTTACAAAGGCTTGCGTCAATCGCCTTTGTGGAAGCAATAGCCTGATCGAGTTGGCCCAGGCCTTGATTTTGAATTGGCTCGATTTCAGTTTCTACCGATGCTACTGGTGGTTTGAATTTACAGCAACCTAGTCCAAACGACGTCACTCGTTCAAAAAACGACGATGTTGGAGGGACTATTTGCTGTGGCGAGTCGGATTGATTTTTTCTCTGAGCTGCTAAACGAGAGGTTATAACAATGGTGCCGATGACAAGGTTTACGACTAGGAATATACATGAAGGACTTATAAGCCAACTTGCAACCATATCATATGCTGAAACTGAATCTGCTTCACCCATACTGATAAAAAATAACTTCTTTTTCTTCAAAAGCAAAATAGAAAGAAAAAAAAACAACTTAATAATGTTTTCTCTATAACTGAAAGTTGTTAGAGTATGAAAATTAATGGTGCTGCTGTTTTGGTAGCTATTGTGAAGTGTGCGTCTTTATATAAAAAAATGAACGTTTAGAAAATGAAGTTGACGTTTACTTCTTTTAATACCAGTTGTTTCTTTTTTTTATTTAAATATTAAATTTCAACGTCAGGTGTTGGGTAAGTGCATGTGTTTTTATTCAAAAATAATGATCTAAGCTGAAAAGGAATCGTTTGTTTCATTTTTGTTAATTGTTTCCAAATTATTTTTAAAAATTTAATAAGTATTGTATTTTCATTTATTCTGTCCAACGATGGCATGTTATGCTCGTTCCTACCTGAAAATTCATCCTTAAATAAAATAGAGAAAATAAACATATATTTATCATTTATGGTTCAAAATAGTTTTATTCCTCAAATAAATATTAAAGTATCTTGTGATTTAATAGATACAAAATATTTATTGATTATTGTCCTGGATTGACCACAAGTCTCTAGGACGAAAGGTTTAATAACAAAACAGAAGAACAAAGAGTGTATAATAGGTACATTTCTATTTCTTTGAAGCATCCGCCTTCGAGAGTTTTCCTGACCATCTAGATCAATCTGACAAGTGACCGTGATTCACACCTCACGCCACACTTTTTGTTGAGAATCGTTGTCACTATTTAAGAGGAAAGACACATCATTTCTCATGCATTCAAATTCATTAATTCTTACTCTCACATCACTTTTCGTTCTCTTAATAACTTAAGCGTTGGAGTGTTAATCTTGCATGCCAACCCCCTCTTCACGAAAGCTCAAGTTTACCATAGTAAGCACTATTTCATTGTACACCGAATAATTCTTATTTCACCACAGAATAATGGCATTGTCTGTGGGAAACAAAATCTGATTCCTGCACATTTTCATGTTCAGATCTCCTCCGATTCAGAGATCCAAATCTCCTCTCTTAGAAGTTCATATCTTCATTTCTTGATCTTCTTCTAATCTCAACTTCCTTTTCAACTAATCCTTCTTGAGATTCATCTACCAGGGTGGCATCCAAAGCCACTCGCTCCTCAGTCCAATGACAAGCCGCTATTGTTGCTGAACCTATCAAAAAAGATCCACTTTCTTTTACTCAAGTAGTAGATGATCTAGTCGTGGTAGCTTCTCCACCGGATCCTTTGCAATAAGATCTTGGTCAACTAAGAGTCGATCATGGAGTATTTCAAGCTCTTCCAATTTTCTGATCCATGCACAAATTTCATCAAGGTGAACCTTCGCATAGACCTCCACCATTACATGTGATTCTCGGACAAGAAACTCTCCATGACTTTCAGCTGTTACAAGCTAACCTCGAGATCCAAAGAGTTATTGATCTAACGAATAATGTATACAATTATCTGCAATAGGACAATTTGCAGTTCCTGACAAAAAGGATATTTAGCATTAAAGAGAGCCTACAAAACATCAAATCTAAAGAATAACAATGTGCAGGATGGAGCCTCATAAAGAAATTAAGTTGTCATTCTTAAGCTAGCTTCCATCAGAGAAACAATGTCGCATAAATAAATCCCGATAATATTGAGTCGCCTCTGCCACCGAACCATCAGAGAAATAATATCGCATAAATAAATCTTGATAATATTGAGTCGCATCTACCACCGAAGACACATGAATTTACATCTCAATTCTGAAGGGGGAGTGGTAGTCACACTCCCCAGGAGGTTTGTTGTCCTTGAAGGAGGGAGAGATATGACAAAGATGCACCGATTTCATAGCAGAAAACAAATTCTTTATCTTCTCACATCCTCAATAGCAGGATTCTAAGATCACTCGAAAACCTCTAAAACTTCAAATATGTGGTGGAACTAGGGACCTAGACAAACACGTCGAGCACATGGACAACCAGTTATATTATTATCACTCCTACGAGGCTGCAAATTGCTAACTCTTTGCATTAACCGAGACTGGATCCACTATGATTTTGTTCAAGACCCTCTTAGATGGGAACATAGATTCTTGGAAAGATCTATACGAGGCCTTCACCACCTATTTCACCGTTCGATAAAGGCAATACACAACAACATTCATGCTCAGTGGGATCACTCAAGGTAAGAAAAAAACTCTACGTGGGCATATCGTCCACTTTAATAAAGAGGCAGTAGGCATAGGAGACATAAATGACAAAATGACATGTTGGATATTTGAGATGGGGTTGAGGCGAGACTGCATGTTATAGGATAATCTAGGACTCAAATAGGACCATAGCTTAAAGGTTTATTGAGTAGTGGATGTCTTTACATTAATTATGAATAAAAAATCATGGCCGAGGGATGAGGCCGAGGAGTGCGAAATCCCAGACTCAAACGGGTACTTGAGAAAGATAACGTCTGTCACAAATAAAAAGGCAAACACGACCCTTGGTCCATGTTCAACGAGTACACTCCACTGGATACTTTGAAGGAGAAAATTTGAAAGGAATGCAAAAACATCAAGTTCAAGGAGGTTGTGGTCAGGAATCCATATGAGTCAGAGAATCTTCCATGAAAAACAAGTTCAAGTACCTCTATTTCCATAAGAGTCAGGGCCACACCATGAATGACTGCATGAAGCTGAAAGATGAAATATAAGGAATGATCAAAGAGAGCCTGGCTGAATAGACCGAATATGATAAGAGGGGCCAAGGAAGGTTCGCTGAAGAAGAAGTGCTCCCCCCAGAGGAAGAAATATCCTAATAAAACCATTGAAGTTGTTTCCAAATCCAAAGGGAAGGATACCAAAAGCGATTAATAAGAAATCCATAAAGGGAAGCGCCAATACGTTGCTTCCATCACTGGTGGTGTCATAAGTGCAAGGAAATAAGAATCCCTCCAAAGGGACGATGAAGAAGAAGATAAAGAGTAAATTGTTGTTAGCAAGAATTGGGGAAGCTATTTAACCGGGATGTCTGCTAGGCTAATCCACAGATTTAGTGACAACGGGAAAGTATAGTGGATCCTGAATGAGATATTTCCTTTGGTTATAATGAATGTTCTGGGCCGACCAAAGGACTAATAATGTGAGGCTCATTTATCCAACCTGATCCTATAAGCCCAACGTATAAATACCTTCACAAAAGGTTTTCAGGTACACAATCTCTAATCTCCATTTTCACTATGGTTATCTTGAATCCTAAATCGACTTGGGCATTAGAGTGCTAACCATGCAGGCACCCCTATCTGGAACATCGCATAAGATATTAGCAACACCTATTCAAGATCGACATTGAGTAACAATGTTGATTAAATATCAACATATCTGGTTCAAGAAACACCATGGTCGCAACCTCTGATCCATGATGCCGTATCACATAATCACTTGCGAAGCTTCGCTCCGTAGTAGCTTCCACAATCTCCTCCATTTCTGGTTCCACAATGCAATAATGGCACCGTCTGTGGGAATTGAGTTCTGATTCTTGCAGTTTCACTGAGGTCAAGTTCGACTCTCATATCTGAATCTGAAAACACCTTCAACAAAAGAATCGAGGTTCCGCAAAGTCAAGATATCATTTTAGCAATGACAGAGCCACCAAATTCTGATTCGATTATGATCAATCTCTCATATCGACCTTGCTTTGCTGAGAGATGACACCAAAAGACATCCTTAGGTTGGGATCCAATTCTATAATGTTCCGGCTGACTAGAAGTCTCGATCTCAAACCCTTGGTGAAGTCGGTCAATAAATCCCTTCAGATCCGAATACAAATTCACAGAAGCAATCTCAATCAACTGAGTAGTATTGTAGAACCACCTCCATGTAAATAGTCATATATCTGGTCCACACCAGATGTCTCATCATCTTAAAAGCCTCATGTCGTATGTCTCATCATCGTAACAACCAGAACCCGATCCCAAACTATCACCAAAGGTCCGGAACTGTGGAATGATGAGCAACCTCAGACGTGCGATCACTTAAGAGATAAGAATATCAGTTTGGTATCCAGCTGATGGAGTAAGTAAGGGCCACATGGATCTCCAACGATAGGAGAAGTCTCCAATTCCCCAGTTTTGATTCCAATGGGAAATTGGGAGGGCGATCAGGGTGTAATTCAAGAAGAAGAATATATTGTGTCTGAAGAGGCATGCCAAGTATAACTACCCCAGAAGTTATGCATGATATGAAGCCGGAAGGGCATTGAAGATCTGCCGACTATAGCACCCTTCTAAACCCCAAAGAATAATTCACGAATAATTTAATTGATAAATCACACAACACACCAACAAGGGTGTCACATGCTTCATAAAAACACCATAAATAAACATATTGCTCCGTAACACGAGGTTTTACAAAATTATAATTATTTCCTTTTGGAATATCAACACATGGTTCAAATACTACACAACGGAAAATCAGTCTCAACAACTTCATTTATTTAATCCATCAAACCATCTTCATCCTCAATTAGTCAAAAAAATTATGATATCGAAACAACTTAAACAGAATAAAACAAGTCATAAAGTCATGTCAACAAAAGGATTATAAGGTTTGATGCAAACATTCCCAACCCCAATGTTACATATCAGAGCATGAATTTCTAATCAATGAAAACAAAATAAATAACCTCAAAGCTATCACCTATGCTTCTCCGAGTTATTCATGAGAATCTGCACGTTACCCACGTAGAGCCAACATTCAAATAGAAAGGATGAGTAATCACATTCATTACAAAAGATATACGGAATAGACATAGTAGTTTAAGCAACAACATCATACAATCCATAATATCATCATACGTCACACATTATACCCATACTTTAATATCATCATAACATAAGTACACCTTTATCACAACTCATCTAAACATCAAGTAAAATCACAAATTATCATCATAAGCATCACTTATGTCACACTTCATCTGAACATAATTTACTCAACAATAATTCATCAAGCTTCATTTAC